GTGTGTGTGTGTGTGTGTGTGTGTGTGTGTGTGTGTGTGTGTGTGTGGCTTGCTCTTCGTCTCAGTGACTTACTAAGCCCATTGATCCACCACCTGCTCTGACCACAGAGGGCCAGCTTGGGAAAACTGACGTTTTGAGAAAGCACGGTTGCTTATGGCGTGGCTGCAAAAAGGGGAGTGTGGGGGGGGGGGGACATCTGACACAAACCAACACACATAACATCCAGAGAGATGGAGCCGGCGAGCAGAACATACTGTTTGGATAAAATCGTGGACTGTCGGGGAAGCGATCATGTCTCTATAAGCAATGTATAGTGATTTTGTTATGAACATGATTGTTACAATAACCTATTTTTTTCTGTTTTTCGTCATAATTATTCATAAAATCAGTCCACTGTTCCGTTATGAACTGAGGCCAGCGAATACTGTATGAATGAAAATCATAAACTCGCATCCACGCCACGTCGATGATGCGGGTCAGATGACAGCTGCCAAAACTGTCCAATCGATGCCTTACCTTTCAGTCCATGTGACTTAATGTGCACCGATCTCAGTTTGTTCTAAAAAACAGTCAGGAACAGGAACCGGGCCAGAACTATAAAACAATAATGTAGCTTTTTTTCTTCTTGGCCGGACCGAATGAGCTAAACCCCCCAAAGAGACCACAGTGATGACACATGAACGTATTGCTCTCCAAGTGCAGCACTAATTTGTTAGACTTGTTTATCCCACGGGCTTGAACACGGTTATCAATCTAAAGCGTTCGTTATTTACAGACAACCCCCCCCCGGTCTTGAGAAAAACTCATTTTTTTAAACTTTTGGCCACATATTGACAACTTGAGACGTGACTGTTGAAAACCTGCCACTGGCCACCTTCTGTAGCACCTGGAGCTTAAACTCCTCAGCCAGAGACATCGCAGTAGCAGCTGTCAGTGGCGGAGTGGCAGACGAGTCTGATTCACTTCCCCTGCACAGATTTCTCTTTTTTGTTTTTTTTTCCCCACTTGGGACTTGAAACGGTAATCCTGCAGGCACAAGCCAGTTTGTCCGAGTAGTGGGTCGCTGCCGGCCCGGTGAGTGGACCGAGGCCAACGGAGCAGCTGCTGGAATCTGCGAGTTTTTACGGATAATCTACTCACATAATGCACTCTTCTTCTCCAAAACCCACGTGTTCACAATGAAAGGGATCTACAAGTCAGCTGAAGTCCTAGCATTTCCTGCAGAGCTAATCCGACGGGAAAAAACTTGGACGATCAGCGAGAGTAATCGCCAAGAAAAGTCTTTTATGGCTTCTCACAGACATCTGCCTCCAGCAGGCAATTCATCCACTTCCTTTTTTGTTTCAAAATGCTGCAGTTGTGTCTATCGCTGGAGTGAATGGTAGCATTTAAAGTGTATTGTATTCATTTTGATACCTGATCAGATGAAGCTACGTGATCTCTGTATATTTGAGCTCAGCCGTGCCTTCAGTTGGCACCAGCAAAATGAACAATGATACATTATAGTCCTTATGACTGTGAGGCCAAAGCGTATCACCTCTGACAGCGGAGGGCTCATGGGATAGTGCGGCAATGTACTGTTGAAGTATGAATTAATAGCCATTAATATTGATCTAATTTGCGCTCTTCAGGAACAATATGTGAAAGAGTCTGCCCTTTGATCTCCTGTCTGATACAGTATTTATAGTGTGAAGTAAAAAAGGTCAAACTTTGGTCATTTGGTTGAGAAGGTGGAATGCTTTTTACAATGCCGTCATATAAACTACTAAAAAAAGACTTCCAGCCTTTAACTAACTCCTCGTTGATCCTCTCAGAATCCCTGGTCTTACTACTTTGAAAAATGAGAACAGGTTTCCGTTCTTAATGTTTCTCTTGAGGTTCGAGCAAACGTGCAGCGGCTCCACAACAAGACACAGACCCTCCGCTTTGGCCGCATCCGTGCTGTGCAGTAGTCGCTTTCAGAAGAGAATAAGCATTTTTCGCATTTTTGCATTTCCCGGAGGCCCTATTTCTTGTAGACACATCTACATCGTTAATGCAAATGATATTCCGCACATTTGAGGCCAGGCGTTCCCCGTGGTCAGACTGGACCGAATTGCGAACAGCTTGTGGCTGGTGTGTTTCGGGGAATAGTTTCAGTTGGATTTATTTGTGCAGGAGCTAATGATTGCTGGGACGAGCAGGGGGCTTGTCTACAGAACCGTGTACCGAATGTTTGGTCCCGGAAGGAATCGTCTGAAACCTGCTGAGCGAGCCGCTGAAGATGATGAGAATAAGAAATGACAGGAGTGTGGTAGGAGGGGCTTTTAACTCAGCACAGACTGGTTCTGTTTCTTTCCCTAAGATTGAGCATGTCTTGTTTTTACTGTTTTATTGCTATCGACTGAGTGTATTTCCTTTGAAGAAAACCAAAAAGAATACGGATGGACCTGCCCTTTAATGTCTTCTCCTATCACATCTCACACTGTGGTCCTCACCCTTTCTAGATTACTAGTCCACTTGCAATGAAAGGGATTTAGATAAATGTGTCAGCTAAATACATGTGGTGTAAAACTACAGACGCTTTCCTTGGGTTGAGGATCTCACACGGTGTTTGTGTGAAGCCTTCCAAATGTCTCACTCCACCTCACGGTGCACTCTGCGATGTCTCTCTCACCCAAACCTCACGGCCTCTGACGGTGCATTTTCCCGTAATTGTACAGACAACCAACGGCGTTATGTGCGCACCCAGGCTTTTGAGTGGAGTGAAGGATTTTTTTATATTCTTAATTCCTCAGAAGAGTCGTGCTCAAACACGAGAATGGCAGGCGAGGGAACCAGAAGAGGCCCATTCAGCAGAAAATATTAAAGCCTCGCAGCACTAATCCTCCTCATTATAGACAGACATCATTAGCAAACCGTAGAGCGCGTCCCTGCAATACGGATGACTGTGCAGTTTTGCTTTCTGTGTATGTGTGTGTGTGTGTGTGTTTCTAGTGACTTCAGCAAAGGATGTCAGGGAAAAACAAACACTGTCAAAATGTTACATGAATGCAGAGATGCAGAGATGCAAACATCTGTCAGCAGATCAGGGCCGAGAGATTACATCACACAACTCAACGTTTTGAAGTCAACTCTTTCTCGCTGCTTCTCATTTGTGGTATTGGATTTGAAAGTGTGTTGTGGATCATACTTAGATCGATTATATGCAGCCTTGGCTCTCGCCCAATCCAGTTTGATTTTACAATTTAATTTCTTTGGCTGTTGATTTATGGTGAGGGAGCGTTTGTGTGAAGTTGCGATACAATTTGTCAACTTTTAGTGCACCACATATTTCAAGATAAATGAGTTTGTTACATTGCACCATGCTATGTCCAGGACGACGTGAACAGGAAAATGTCACATTGCTGTGATTTTTGTGTTTTAAATATGTAAGAATTTAGGAAATGAAAGAT